ATGCCTCAATTCAGAGAACCACGACCGTGTAGAGATGAAAGTTTTCACACACAAATGTGTAAACGAGCGAAAAATGCAAAACTGCTGCTGGTTGCATTTAGTATAATTACAAAATTGAGATTTGATATTTTGGGGGGAGGATAAATACTGAAAATTCCAGAAGGAAAATGATATTCTTTGCCTAAATAAGTTTGAAAATAATGCATTAAAGAAAAAAAGTTAAATAAGCTCTCGACTGCAGGACTTCTCAGAGCTTTCAATGGACTAATATGCATCAGGTGCCTCCTGAAGGAGACGTAAGGGTGCAGCATTCCCAGGACTGTGTGATCTGTAGAATTCATTTTCTGTGGAGTGTCACTGAGCACAGCTGTGTTTGGTGAACAGTGCCTCCTGTCCTGGGTCCAGTCGCCCAGCCCTGCCATCCCACACTCCAGAGCCTGGCTCCCAACACCACGCCCGTGGGACGCTGCTCTCAGTGTGGGAGGACGGTGAGGTGCTGTTCAGCACCTTTAATACTTAAGTGGCCTAAACTTCAGAAGAACAGAACAAAGTGCCTCTTACTACAAAAATGGAAATATCTTTCAAAGCCATCAAAGCAAATTTCTTTAATCCTGAAGGTCTCCGAAATACCTTTTAGCTGGTACACCGTTTTCATATTATACCTTTTTAAAAACACTTATTTAGCTAAATAATTCTTTTCCAAATTATTTCAGAGCAATTTTGGTTACTTCTGGGTTTTTTTTNCTCACTCTAACCATCTGAGTTAACCAGCCAGCCAATTTTGGCTACTTTTGAATGATCCTCCAAATTTGGGTTTTTCTGTAGAGAAATGGGACCATTTCTGCCCAGACAACCTGATCTTAACCTTACATTGCTCTATGTTAGAAGGGTGACAATTTGCACACAATGACTGTCATCAGTAAACACACTGGATCCTGCCAATGTGAAGCTATTTTTTTGTTGCTAAATTAAAAAATGCATTTGTTCTCCCTGGAGCAAAAGCAAACCCATGGACAGATTTTTGTAAATTCTATCTCACTAGGAGGTACAGCCAGTCGGGCCTTCCCCCCATCTCAAGTATGTCAGAATTTTACTTATTTAGTCAATTTTTAAAACATGCCCTGCACTATAAAGCCTCAGGGTGCAATCCTATAAAATATTACTGTTTAAAATATTTTTTAAAACATTAAAAATAGCTCTGCCATAAAATCAGATTCCCAAGAACATGGCTTGGTGCTCAAAATGGCTCAGTGCTCCGCGTGGTGTGGTATTCTCAGTGATGTGGTGCTCCAGGGATCTTCCAGGGGTGCTCCCTACAGTGACCAGGGGACTGGCCAGGGATGACTGTGGCCTCCCCCTCAGCACCCACGGTAAGCCAGGACTGTTTTCCCAATGGAGTGACAGCAGGGACCTTTGGCACTGGGTAAATACTCTGCTCTCTGCTTCCCTTTGCCTGCTGACCAGTGCTGGGCCAGGAGTCTGCAGATGTGTGTCCCAGGCAAGGCCCTGGTTCTGGGGGAGGGGGTGCAAAAACAGGCCCGAGGGTCCCACCAACAGAGTCACTAACAGGTGAGATTTGACAATTTTTTTTTTTTTAACTACCTTTACCACATTTTAAAATATTTCGGCTCCAAAACATACCTCAAGTACGTAGCAATTCATACACACACACACGCACGCACGCACGCACACAAACACCCACACACGCACGCACGCACGCACACAAACACCCACACACGCACGCACATAAACATGTATATCATATCTCAGGCAATCTTCACAAAAGAACCACCATTACCACAGAGAATGAACATAATTCTAACCCAGAATAAAGATGCCTGATGCTTTCATTATATTTGCAGCCATACTTCTGGGACATGTATTGATTCTGTGAAGCATTTTCAAATACTGAAAATCACTCAGAGATTGGGTTACTGCTTCTGAGGTTCCCTGTTGTAAATCCTGAATCCAACAGTGAAGGAGGGTGACGGTCAGGTTTCTCCACGAGACCCCTGCTCAAAGATGCGTCTGTCATGTGGGTGGCCTGTGGCCTCCCAGCACCTTGACGAGATCCACCAGCTGCCCTAGGGGAGGAGACTTTCAAGGGTACTTCAAAAAGTTCATGAGCTGGGCCGGCCCGGTGGCGCACTGCTACAGTG